TTCTCTGAATTACTCAAGCCCCTTTGCCACAACAAGGCAGCAATCCGCGAAGGGGAATATAATCATGTAGGCTCCTTTTTTTCCTCCTCTACTACCTGCTGTATTTGCAGTAATCTACGGCCTCCGATTTTTTGTGGTATATATAATCTGTCCACATCACTTATTGGATGTACTGTGATGCATGTTCATTAGTTTCTGTATTTTTCGATCCAATTATTCCTAAATACAAGGCATCAATATTACCAACTTTGAATAAGCTCTTGAAGTTTATTTTCAGAAGGGTACCTGAGATTATACATGACTATTATTGTTCTTTCTTTTACTCACCACTGGCAATGGTGCGGCTAAAAAATATTGTAAATAAATAAATAAATAAATAAAATAATGCAAATGGGTTTCTTTCTATAGTGAAAAAAAACGAATGCACAACACATACAGCCTCTGTAATACCAGTACGTCATATTAACAAAAAGTGTTTTTACGTATTTCCTACTATGAAAACACTACCATGAATGAGTGAATTGTTTAGGCTAAATCATTTCCACAAGGCATCTCATTAGGCTTGTTTAAAGAGGTTTTCATAATCAGTAGGTGGCAGACCTTATCAAATTCTGTGTAGCTTTGAGATTCAAAGGTTTAAAGTGTGTGCAGCAAGGAGTGATGTGAGGTGGCAGAGTTAGGGGGCAGTCCACTCACAAACCTCTAAGATGGTACCACAGCAACAGGCACACCTACAGATACCAACAACTATGACTTTAGATACGCTGGGAACAGTTCATCCAATTTTTAGCAAATACATGACAACCCCATCCACTATAAGGATTCAATTTTGGGGAGGGGGAGATTTGGCGAAGAGTTAATCTTAATGGTTGTTCTGGGTTTTTCGGGCTCTTTGGCCGTGTTCTGAAGGTTGTTCTTCCTAACGTTTCGCCAGTCTCTGTGGCCAGCATCTTCAGAGGACAGCAACCTGTGCTCTGGACTTATATTAACTTTGTTACCTTCTAACTACTGTCCCAATATAAAACACAGAGATATAAACAGGTTACTAAAGGAAGACTGATTGATCTATGCTTCTGAGAAGACAGGATTTGTATATGGGGATTTAAGAGCAGGAATATATGAACCACAATCAGGAAACAGATATTTTCATTGACTTTTCCATCTGTTTCAGTTGAAATAAGAGAAAGAGAGAGGGGAATTCCTAAGTATTCCAGAAGAAACTCCTACACAGAAATTTGCAAACTAGAGCAAAATGTCATTTAACTTTTCTTCCTCCTTTGTAATCTTTTGAGTCACCAACAAGCCCCACCCCTAACAAGCCTCTTCTGTGATTCTTAACTGGGTGAAGAGACATCTCATCCTTCCATGTTTCCTTTAGAGGCTGTGGCTAGACTGTAATTGCCTGCTGTGAGATACCTCACTGTCAAGAGAGCTAAGAATGGGAAAAGATATTCCTTGCTTGCAGCTCTCTCAATTACACCCTGTTTTCAAGGTGGAGAGATTAACTACATAGGCTGTTAGCTGGCTGTTTAAAGCACTGCAGGGATGGACTGGTGTGCTCCTAAAGACCATGATCAGACAATGTCTTGCTACAGTGCACCAGCACATCCCTCCAAACTTTCCTACCTACATCTTTCTGTCCCTGTCAAGGGGCTTCTACTTTTGTGTTGTGGGTAGGATCAATCTGGTTTGGATCAGTTCCAGTGTATGCAATCACTGGAACAGATCCAAAGCAAGACTTACTCTTTCGATGGTTGTTGTAGTTTTTTCAAGCTGTTATGTGCTCTGCCGCCGAGGTGAGACTCCTGACATGCCCTCCCCGCCTCTTCCAGCTGCAGAAATCCCACCCCCTCCAGATGTGACAGATAAGAAGTCCTTATCTGTTCGCCTAGGGCAGATCGGAGGCTGCTCACCCGAGCCCTGCCGAAAGGGCAAGACCTTCCATTAGGTGCACCCTTTCCCCTCCTCCCCCTCATCATCCGCCTCCGGGAAGAGGCAAAAAAACGCACCTGGCGGAATTCCCCTTTTGCTAATAATGAGGCCCGGCGCTCCCCGGCACGCAAACCGGCCGTAGGTTCGCCAGCGCCATGCAAGGAGACCCATGTGGGCGCCCGTTCCCTTCTCCAGAATAAAACGTGGACACTGCACTATGCAATCTATATCGTGCAACGTCGAGACGGATAAGCGGAGCTCTTCACAGCCTGACTCCCACCGAAAAAAAGCCGCCGGTGCCGACCACCTCCTCCTCCGAAGCCTCTTCCTCCTCCTCCCCCCACCTTTCTCTGCCCACCCTCTCCTTCAGACCCAAGCCAAGCCCCGTCCCCTTCCTTCCTTCCTTCCTGCCCAGTTCCCCCTCGCGGCGAAAGCGCCTCGCTCTCTTACTTCCTTTTTCACCTCCGCCATTTCGTCTTCGGTGAGCGACCGCCTGGGAAGCGTGAGCGCCGAGTCCGCCATGGCGGTGACGCCGGCGCGCTTTCGACCAGTCAAGTCGAGGACGGAGCCCCCTCCCGCTCCCCGCCGGCGACGCGCACACAAGGCGGGCCGAGGCCGGACTCTCGCCGCGGCTTACCCGAGTCTCCGGCCGCGGCGGCGAGGGGAGCCAGGCCACGCCCTCTCGCCATGAAGCTCCGCCCACGGCCAGCGAGCGAAGGCCCTTTGCTGGAAACGCGGCCTGATCCCGCGCGAGCCAGCTCCGGTCCCCGGCCTCCCTGAGAGCAAGGCGGGAGAGTCGCGGAGCCTTCAGGACCAGCAAGAGTCATTTGGCAGAAGCGTGGGTGGTCGTCAGAAGCCGTGCGTTTGACTGCCATTCGCGAAAGCTTGTGCAGGGTAAAACTGGTTCGTCTTCAGGGTGCCACAAGATTCTTCCATGGCTTTGCAAAGCAAACCAAAGCGTGCTGCTTATATACTGCCCCACAGTGCTTCAAGCACTCTCTGGGCGGTTTACAAGTTAATTACGCAGGCTACATATTGTCGTCCCCCCCAGCAAGCTGGGTACTCATTTTACTGACCTCAGAAGGATAGAAGGCTGAGTCAACCTTGAGCCGGCTAGCTGGGATTGAACCCCTGGTCGTGAGCACGGTTTTGGCTGCAGTAGAGCAGTTTAACCACTGCGCCACGAGGCTTGGACGGCTGCTCTCCTGGAAAAAATGGGCCGACTTTAGCATCATTTGTCGTCCCCCCCAGCAAGCTGGGTACTCATTTTACTGACCTCAGAAGGATAGAAGGCTGAGTCAACCTTGAGCCGGCTAGCTGGGATTGAACCCCTGGTCGTGAGCACGGTTTTGGCTGCAGTAGAGCAGTTTAACCACTGCGCCACGAGGCTTGGACGGCTGCTCTCCTGGAAAAAATGGGCCGACTTTAGCATCATTTGTGATTGATAGAGCAGTTTAACCACTGCACCACGAGGCTTGAACAGCTGCTCTCCTGGAAAGAATGGGCCGAGTTTAGCATCATTTTTGATTGATACGTTTTCTCTAGACACGAAAGGGACATCCATATAGGTTCCTGACATCTCTAATACAGTTACATAGAACAAGGACTTCTGTCACTTTTCCTAACAGAAAGTTTCTTGATTTCTTTGGTGCTTCCTCGAGAAAGAGGAAAACGTGCTTAGTCACCCCAAGTTTCAAGGGGCTGAATCCACATGTTGAAAGGACTCCTGTGCTTCAGTTTTGCTCTATCCCCAACAGTTTACTGCTCCTGCTGCTGGATTACTATACTACCTCTCCTGTATCGTTGGCCAGCCTTTGGGTTTCAAGCTCCTGGATGCTCTTTCGCCTAGTGGTTTCTTGACTAGTATCAGTTCAGTGGGAAATATTTCCAGGCAAATCTGTATTGAATCGCACCCCAAATCTGTGATCTTCGACCACCAGATCTAACAGCAAGGACCACTGAACCTACAGGGCCTAACAGCAGTATAGACATATATAACATTCCTTCATTACTCACTCTTGGTTTTGGAACACACTGTTTTTCTTTTCTTTTTTTATACCATTATTCTATTAGTCTTAAGGCATCATGAAATTATGCATGCACATGCAGGTTAAGAATGTAAGCCATTTTCATCCCTGTTTGAACACTTGGAATTTGAGTAGACTGTGAAAATTGACAGTTCCATAAATGAGAGCATGAAGCATAACAGGAACCTCATTGCTTGAATGTCCAACTACTGACATGACACTGAGCAATGAGTAATTATTGAGTGTCTCTACTATTTTGTACTTCAAGGTGTGAGGCTGTGTGCAGGTGGCTGCTTAATCAGTTTCTCCATTTCCAGGATTTTTCCCTTTAATTGGAAACAGCTGTATCATGCTGTAATTGCAGAATTTGTCCCCTGCATTCTGCTGATGTAAACATAAGTGGCTTCCAGAACTATTGAAGATGATTGTGATTCACACAGAGCAAAGAGTAAATGGACAGAAATTTTAAGAGGGGAGTATGTTTTGGGTTCCAAGTGTTTTGATAACTTCCAAGCAGAGTTATTGAAGAAAATGATAAGTGGGCAAGTTGTTAAACAGATAAGCTAAATGGCCAAGTCGTCTGGCAGATTGTAACAGGACTGAATCTTCATGAAAGTCCATTATCTTCATTGCCCAGAATCCTGTTGATTGTCTACATCAGCACAAGTGCAATGGCATAAATTGCTACTAGCTAATAAATCATTGCTTGTACTCCTTATTGTGCACCAGTCATTTGACTTGGTGCATGATAAGGAATACAGGCTGTGATTTGTTAAATACTGCTGCAATTTCTGCCATTGCAAGTCTGTCTATCTGTCTATCCATCCATCCATCAAGGTGGCTTACATAATTAAAATACAAAGTATACAAATACTAAAAAGGATCAAACAAATAATACAGTAAAAGATTGTAAACAGAAGCAACATTAAAACACATTGAAACCAGTAAGGTACAGCAATCCATTGAAGAACACCACCCAGGCAGTCAGTCCAAAAATCTTGCTTGAAGAAAAAGCTCTTTGTTTGTGGAAGGACAGCAAAGGCAGGGCCAGCCTGGCCTCCTGTGGGAGGGAGTTCCAGAGTCTGTGAGTAGCGACAGAGAAGGCCCTCTCCTGTGTCCCTATCAGACATGCCTGTGAAGATGGTGAGACCAAGAGATAGGCTTCTCCTGATTTTCCTAACACCTGGACAGACGCACAATGGGAGATGCAGTTCTTGTGATAGCTTGAAATTTCACATGATATACAGTGGGGTCTTGACTTGAGAACTTAATCCGTATTGGAAGGCGGTTCTCAAGTCAAAAAGTATGTAAGTCAAGTCTCCATTGACCTACAGTGCATTGAAAACCAATTAATCCCGTAACAGGCCCTTTTTGTTCCATTTTGGTTTTTTTCTGGTCTGTAAGTCAATTCTCAGGCTGCAAGTCAAACCTAAATTTTGCGGCCAGAGAAGTCTGTAACTCCAAAAGTCTGTAAATCAAGCCGTCTGTAAGTCAAGGGTCCACTGTACTATGACTTGTTTGAATGAACACAGGAAAGCAGCCTAAGAGATGACTACAGAAACCTGCCTTTTCTGTGGTACTTGAAAGCCTGAATAAAACTCCATGGAAAGCAAAGAGCTGCCTGAAATCTCCCTCAAATTTTACACCACACTGGGAACTCCAGCACAAGTTTCCACATGAAATAGATAACACCTACCATGATAATACATCAGAATAATACTAATAACTGTGTGCAGTCAAGTGAATTCTGATTTATGGCAACCCTTTTCAGAGTTTTCTAGATAGAAAGTACTCAGAAGCTGCTACTATTTCCTTCTTTTTTGGGGGGGCATCCTGAAACAGTCTGGCTTGCCCCAAAAAACTACACAGTATTGAACTCCCAACCTCTGGCTCCTAACTCACTGATTCTGTCAAGTGTTCTGCCTTTTTAAAAAACTACAACTGTCTTTGTGTTTATAAGCATCAGACACTGTGTCCTAAAATCACTTCTTATGGGCTATCAAGTCTACTTCCAACATAATCATCTGAATTCTTTTTGTTCTTGGATTTAAATGTTGAAAACAATATTGGAATTTCAATTATTTTTCCTTGAGTTCCTGGACGGAGAGGAGGGGGGTTGGAATAACAGTAAATCTATGGATGATTTGTAGTACATTGGCTAGAGTTTCTGACACCCAGATGTTTAACAACAGCAACAGCTACACTAGGCTATTATAATGAGGACAGTTTGGGTTAATTAAGAGTGGGCCTTTGTGTGAAAGTACTATGAGTTCAGATCTGTTCTGCTCTTGAAAAATGATTTCATAGGCTCTAAATGCATGCCTGTCTTTAATTCTAAACCTTTTACTACTCTGGTTGGTGAATTCTAGTAAACAATAAAGTAGATCCAACAAGTCTGAAGTCTGCCTATCCCTGTTCCAGATGATGTGAACACAGCCTTCTTGTTCACTGTTCACCCTACATGAACTATGAGTTCACCACATATTCAGGAAGCATATGTATGTTTGAAAAGTTCCCAAAGCTGGCACCACCAAGGCCTTGCAACATCATCCTCTGAAAGAAAATCACTTTGATGATCCATTGAAATTAACATGGTTGTTCTTGGCCTAGTAGTGTTCAGCTGCCTCAGGTGAAAAATATATTATTTTTGGAATAATCAAGGTACTGTATAGTATTTTTTAAAAATCTGACATGTTATGACCTTGCTCTAAATAGCATCCACGGACTTTGCTAACTAATCATATGTATGCCTTACTCAATTTTTAATGGCTGCTGATTTAGTGAATTGAATATTACTTTTTGTTGTTGTTATATGGTTTTCTTTTGGCCCAAATCCTGTTTGGTTTTACTATGTGCACAGTGCTCTGTTGAGCATGCGGTTGCTCCTTCCATACTATTTGCATAAGAGAGTATACACTATCCGCTCCCCCTTCGGAAAGTGGAAGTCATGTTGCTTTGCTGGCAAAACCTATCATTAATTTGTTAAAACCTTCCCCTCACAAATGTTAATAGCAGCTGCTAAAATTTTTGCCACATTGTATAGAGTGCATGTGTAACATCCTGATAAAAGTAAATAATGCACAAAAATGTATAAAATGCTTCAGAGCACCCAGGGAATGATTTTAAATCCTGACTATAAAATGAATGGGGTTCAGCGTGTTCTAGATTGGGATCACATATCCTCCTAAAGGTCAGATTCCCAGTTTGAGGATTCAGCTTCTGCTGATTTGTCAATTGCAGTCTTGCAGGCCCAGAGATTTCTTGGCCACAATTGCTGAACTGCAACAGGGCGCAAATATTTTCAGTGGTAATGATAGTGATAGTGATAATGTATTCTTTTATAGTTAAAATGCAACTCCACTATCTATTGGTTGTTCCAGTATTTTAACTGCACAAAGCACCATTTTTTGACAAAGATCAACCCTGATAATTATGGCCCTTTGGATATTTTTGCACTCCCACTCCATAGTCAGCTAGACTTACTAGGACTGATGGCCACCATTTCCCTTTCTGTGCCCACAAGCACTACCTTTTCTTTGACTTGAAGCTCCACCTAGCTTCATTGGATAATAGTATGAGATTGTAGAGAAGTATTCACTTTCTCCAGACCATGCAGAATTTTATGTA